AGGGAGCCCGATGCGGGACTCGATCCAGAGACTCCAGGATCATGACCTGAGCCGAAGGCAGTCGCTTAACCAACTGAGCCACCCAGGCGCCCTACTTTACATTTTCTTAATGAACATCCACCTAGAGTTCCTAGTAATGCTGTCATGGTCCATGAATCTTGATGGAACAGCAGATTTTGAACAAAAGAAATTGAGATAACCTGAAAGCAGCATTTTCCACAAGGTGTGGAAATTGGATGTTAACAGTTATATAGGAAAGGGTTATGTTGAGTCGCATTAGGAAACACTGGGCAAAAAAAGTGAAAGAGGGTTTCTTAACTAGTGCTCTGGCCACTTGCGTAAATTGTACATATTTCTAAAGGGGAATACATATTATGTAGCATTCATTTTCCATACTTATTAAATAGCAGAATCTCCTTTTTGCAAGCATCTTGCAGGGTTAGCGTTCCTTGGAACACAGTTTGGGAAAGTAATGCTTGAAAACGGTCAGAAGGTTGCTATTGAAAAGTTAAACCCACAAACAGGTGCTGCTGTAGTTGCTGGTCACCGAGACCTGGAAGTACCCCTCCCCTCCCTTTTTTTTTAAATGAAGCCGTCATGAGGAGATTAAAGAATTTAATCAGGCCAGTTAAATTCTATTATGGGCTCTGCCAGTATCTTTCACAGCATACATTGATGTCAATCAAAGGAGTTGTGAAAAAATGTTTTTTAAAAATACTTTTTTAAAGCCAAGTTGGTTCTGAGAATTGGCCTTGGTTGTACAGTAATTTTCATACAAGTTTAAAGAGAGATGCCCTGGCAGCCCACCCATATTCCTTCAATACCTTTTTCACTTTTGTATTTCTGACTGAAAAACGACGAACAGTGTAGCAGGCATGTACTTTTGTGCTCTTCAGGGTGACAATAATGTTTCCATACTCCTCACTATTCTCTGTGGGCCAATACTGATCACATTTTCGCTGCAAAAAAGGAAAAAGTTGTCAGTTCCAACTGCAATTTATGCCACAGTTGTACTGTTGGTAATGTGATTTCCAGCGTCCTTAAAACAGGTAATATCACCATATTGTTGAACTGAAAAAGGAACATATGGGCCCAATGGCTTAGAGGTAGACAAACCTCTGAAGAGGTTAACCTTGGGACAACCTTGGGCAAGATCCTTTGTGAAATGGGTCTCATATTCATGATCATCTTTCAACAGACAATGCACTTTAAAGAGGGCCTCAGAAAGAAACCTGTATTTGGCCTATAAGCAATACGGCTGGCTATGTGAGGAGGCTGGGCTGCCTTCCGAGTTGCAAGAGAATCTTATAACAGTGAAAATCTTCATTCTACCTCTTGGGTCACCAAAGGTGAAACCGGGACTCCACAGTCAAGGTGAAGCTGTAGCGATTCTGAGTAATGAATTTGAGGCTTAGCCTTTATTTCCAGGCTCAATCAGCGTCATGTAATATAAACTCCTAATCTACTAACTCTAATCTTAAAAAAAGGTTCTCTTAATGATGGTCAAGGTGTTTCAACAGTGTTTCTGCTCCCCCCCGCCCCAACTATCAGTAGTTCCCCCACTACACTACGTTTCTGCCAACTTCCCTGTTTGTTGTGTTTTCTGTCCTCTTAGAAGGTCGTTCTATAACTCCTCCTCCTCTCTCATTGTTCACAGCTCACCTCACGTATTAGCTCCTTTACAAAATCTCAGCCCTAGGGGAGTATCCATCCCTTTTACAGCATCCACATTCGAATACTCTATTCATCCCTCTTGCCACATTTAATTCCCTCTTGTAAGCGCTCAGCTCTTTCCCACCAGACCACAAGCAAGGTAGGGGCAAGAGAGGATGCTTTTCATCTCCTTAACTCTTTATACCTGGTCAAGTTCCTACCCTACAGCAGGTGCTCCATAAAGAGGTTTTGAATGAAGGTACATGATTAAGATATTAAGCCAAGAGGCTCTTACTCTTCCTTTTTCCACAAGATTCGTAATCATGATAATGATTCCAGTGTTTTGTTCCCAAATCATCCTCCAGAAATCTTCAAATGTAGACTTTAAAGGTCCCTGGGTGGCGATATAGGCTTTCGCTTTGTTGTAACCCTTCAAAGATGACACAGCACAAAGTAAGATGAAAGCAGCATCACAGACCAGTTAATAATTCAAGTGCCTTCCATATTGAATAGGCTGTGTTTTTAGGAAAAGCTCTGTGCAGTATTAAAACACATTCAACAGTCTCTGTGGCACTCTTCAATTATGAGAAACAGGTTTATAAAACATTTCTGACTTACATCGACGTAGTTTGCATTAATGTAGTCACTGTGCTTAGAGTCTTTTCCTGGTAAAGGTCTTAACTTCACCCTACTGTGATCATCTGTAGAGGATAAAAACAAAAAACAAAAAACAAAAACAAAATGTGTAATTCAAAAACTACCAGCATTCTAAAGCAGAAAACAAGGCAAATCGGCAATGTGGCATCTCCCAGAGTACCCCAAAAAAACTTTTGGCAGAACAACAGCTAAAAATTTAAAGATACAGCATTGAAACCCATCTTAAAAACACAGGGACATTTCTACATCATGCTCTGACCTGTGAGTGCCCAAGAAATGCAAACTGAAGTCCTTATTAGTTCATGTAAAATGATTTCAAGTTGCAACCCTCCAAAGTGTCCTTGTCCTGGATTTTAAAACCAAGGCCTTTGATTACCCATGGCTGTGTCCCTTTTCCATTAATACAAATGTACAAAAGTGATTGTTACATTAGGTCCAGAACAACATCTATTTGTTGAACGTCTATTTTCAGGAGATTCCTTTCCTAAACTGAGTTAGACTCCCTTCTACCCTAATAGAACCCAAGTAATTAAGGAAACCAGAGATGTTCCTGAGAGTAATCTCATGGCAGGAATCTGGTGAATGATCAGATTCTAGGATCTACTCAACCTCAGCTTATGAACACAAAAGTGGGATATGTGCCTCTTGTTGCCCAGCAAAGTGAACTGGAATTTTTAGGACAGCAAATGAAATAAAAAGAAGTGAAGGTCACAATTTTATTTCCTCTAGCTAGGAACAAAAAGGGCAAAAGTAAATTTACATTTCTGGTTATAATCATAAAAGTCCAGTGGCTTAGCCTAGACATTAATGACCTCAGACTATTTATCAAGCACTTTTTGAAAGCCTTCTCCAGTCTCGTGACTCTGAATTTTGTTTGTTGTTCTGACAAACTCTCAGACTATACTTGCTATGCAGAAGGGCTGCCTGTTAGAAACAGGCTCCAAATGACAATTTCCCCCCAGGTTATCAGAATACAAACCACTATGCCTTAGCTCAGTAGCACTATATTGCATATTATTTTTCAGACCGACAAATAAGAATGCGTGTTCTTCAAGTTGCAAAATTCATACTTAATCTAAAAGGTAACAGCCTCTCTAAATAGATCAATACAGGAGATGGTACAGAAGCACCATACTTGAAAGTTGTAATGGCTCTGTGAGAGAAGGCTTTTCATACATTTTATTTCCTGCACAGTAAGTTGTTTCATGACATTTCCATCCTGGTTCTTGCTATACTAAGCCCTTAATATAGGGGTAGACCAAGATGATGGGTGATGTGTCCAGAATCTGACCAGACACCATGAACACCAGAATCCAACTTTCTGAACTTAGGAAAATAAAACCACATCTAATCTGAATTTGTGAAAGTGAAACCATAAATCAACTGGTGAGAGTACAACCATAACAAACCACAGGTGGCACACTTTCCAGGCAACACCGTGACCCTTGGGCTATCACGTAGACACTTCTTTGATTTCCTCCCTCTTTTCTGCCACATACTTTTAGCCAAACACTGAGGTCACCAGAAGGAAGGATTGCCATGGTGGAGAGAATGGTATGTGTGGATATACTCAAGGCACACGTGTATATATCCCTGCCTGATTTACATGGTTAGAAATGAGGTATATAGATGGACAAATCCTTATAATCTTGGCAAGGTGAGCCTTGACTAGGTTGGCCAACAAATACTGTCAGAGTCCATGCATTCGAAGACTGGAGAGAAAAGCAAAGTTTGACTCTTTCTTGTTCTCTTGGTTAGTTCCTCATTCTCTCATATAAGTGGAACCAATACTCTTATTCAAAAATGTCTTGTGGTTCTTTTAAAACTGTAGAGTTAGAAGTAAAACTCTCTTAGTAGATGACATTACCTTGTATATAAAAATTCTAAGGAATCCACAAAAAATAACTATTAGAATAAATGAGTTCAGCCAAGGTTGTAGGATACATGATTGATGTTTAAAAAAAAAAATGTACTTATATACACAATGAAAGATTTCAAAATTAAGTAAATAATTCCATTTACCATAGCATCAAAAAGAATAAAATACTTAAATTCAACAAAAGAAGTGTAACACATGAAAACTGTAAAACATCATTGAAAGAAATAAAAGATGACCTCAATAAATGGAAAGACATCCCATCTTCATGGATGGAAGACGGTATTGTTAAGATTAATCCACAGATTCAATGCAATGCCTATCAAAATCCCAGCTACATCTTTCGCAGTAATAGAAAAGTTGATCCTAAAACTGATATGGAAACACAAGGGACCCAGAATAACCAAAACAATCTTGAAAAAGAAGAACAAAGTTGGAGCATTCACAGTTTCTGAATTCAAAATATACTACAAAGCTATAGTCTGTCATCAAGATGAAGTGGTACTGGCCTAAGGATAGACATATAAATCACATACCATAGGTGACATATAAATCAATGAAAGAGAACTAAGAGTCTAGAGATAAACCCTTACATTTATGGTCAGTTGATTTTCAATAAGGGCACTAAGACAATTCAGTGGGGGAAAGAACAGTCTTTTCTACAAATAGTGCTACGACAACTGGCTATCAACAAGCAAAAGAATAAACTTGGACCCTACCTCATACATTTAAGAGTTATTTGAATAAAATATCTAAATGTAAGAGCTAAAACCATAAAACTCTGACAAAAACAAAGGTGTAAATCTTCATGATCTTGGATTAGGCAGTGGTTTCTTAAGATATGACACCAAAAGCCAGGCCACAAAAGAAAAATTATGTTTCACCAAAATTAAAATAATTTGTGCTTCAAAGGACACCATCAAGAAAGTGGAAAGACAATGCACAGAATGGGAGAAAATATTTGCCAACTGTTTATCTGTATAAGGGATTCATATCCAGAGTGTATAAAGAACTCCTACAACTCAGCAACAAAAAGACAATGGGCAAAGAATTTGAATAGATACTTCCCCAAAGAAGATCTACAAATGGCCAATAAATACATGAAAAGATGCTCAACATTACTCATCATTAGGGAAATGCAAATTAAAATGACAATGAGATACCACTTCACACCCATTAGCAGAGTTATTTTATATATCTATAGATAGATATCTACATCTATATATCTATAGATACAGATATATAAAAGTAACAAGTGTTGATGAGAATATGGACACTGGGACTCTCATATATTGCTGGGGGAAATGTAAAATGGTATAGCCACTTTAGAAAACAGTATGACAGTTCTTCAAAATGTTAAACATAGAGTTACCATATGACCTAGCTATTCTACTCCTAAGTATACATCCAAGAGAATTGAAAATATATGTCTGCACAAATGTTCATAGCAGCATTATTCATAATAGCCAAAAAGTAGAAACAACCCAAATGTCCATCAAATGACGAACGAATAAACACAATGTGGCATATCCATACCATGGAGTAATTTTCAGTCCTAAAAAGGAATGAAGTACTGATCTAAGCGACAACATGGATGAATCTTGAAAACATCATGCTAAGTGGAACAGACCCAGACACAAAAGGCCACATATTCTATGATTCCATATATGGAATGTCCAGAATTGGCAAATACACAGAAATAGAAAGTAGGTAAGTGGTTTCTAGGGGTTAGGGAAAAGGAGGAATTGGGAACGACTGCTAATGGGTAGGGGGTTTCTTGTTGGGGTGTTGAAAATGTTCTAAACTTAGATAGCGGTGATGGTTGTACAACTGCGTGTATACTAAAAACCACTGAAATTCAGTTTATATTTAAATTCCCATTTAAATATAAATTAACTTTAAATGGGTGAATTTCATATGGTATGTGATTTTTATCTCACTAAAGCATTATAAAAAGCTTTATCTACAGTAGTGTTCACATTTAAATGGTTCAATTTAATGCACTATAAAATCCTATGGAATGTGTTCCTTACCACAGTGTATGTTAACCATCAACATGTGTGCCCCCACCTTTAGTATCAAAGCATAGATTATCTGCCAGTGACCCAAACCCCCAATGTCTAGGAGAAGTAGCACTTTAGCCACAGAAGTAGTGCTCCTAGGGTATTCCCATAAGGCTCTGTAAGAAGAATGCTTATTGGGGCGCCTGGGTGGCTCAGTTGGTTAAGCGACTGCCTTCGGCTCAGGTCATGATCCTGGAGTCCCCAGATCGAGTCCCGCATCGGGCTCCCTGCTCGGCAGGGAGTCTGCTTCTCCCTCTGACCCTCCTCCCCCTCATGCTCTCTGTCTCTCATTCTCTCTCTCTCAAATAAATAAATAAAAACTTTAAAAAAAAAAAAAAAAGAAGAATGCTTATTTGTTTGTATCCCTAACCGCCAGAGTACTCCTGACCTTGGAAAAATGGTAGAAAGGACAAAACGCATGGGCCCCAAGGACTGGTGGCTCCATCCCTTACGGTATAGACCACTGAAGGTATGTTACCTAGTCTTAGAAATTCAGCTTATTGATTCCATTTTCAGTATTTCTTACCTTATTTAAAAACTTGGCTCTCCCCACTTAAAAACAACGTCAAGAGAGCCACAGGACATTCAAACTTTGGTTCCCAGCGTCTGGTATGAAATCACTTCATGAGAGAACCACGAAGCTCAGAACATTTCTTTCAGTCCCACCTTATTCTTAAGCGGAGATCTGACAGCTTAATGAAAGACTCAGGGGGCTGTAAATGTCCCTACTTCTTCCTATCTTCTGTTGAAGATGGGCTAACGAGAGGTTAACTGGCGAATGTAATTCTTTCTTGGCATTCCTGGTTCGGATTGCTTGGCTTTCGGCTTATCCCCAGCATGAAGATTTAATTTCCTCACAGTTGCAGATAGTTTAAAGTTTATTACTTACATGCTAAAATGTTGATGTATCTGTTTTTGTGCTTGTTATCTGGATGATTGGAATGTTCTGCAGTGATGTTCATATCGGCCGTACAGCGTTGGACTTCCTGGTGGAAAAAGAAAAAAAATCAAGATTTCAAAGATTTTAGACACACTTTCGATGTCTAGCAAAGGTGTAGGAAGAAAGAAACTATATATCCAAAAGCATGAAGTATTTCCTCACTCCCTAGCCGCGGCAACCATTACCTCCCCAAACTCAATTTCAGAAATAACTGACATATTCATAACAAACGTATAGAGGATGTGAAGAAGATAAAAGGATTTCTTTTTTTTACTAATTCATCAATCATCTACTTCATTCCAGATTGTGACCTAGGCATGGGGATTACAAAACATCGTATCTCTCTTTGAATATGCCACAGCCTGATGAGGGAAGAAAACATGCCAAAAATAGTGACAGTCAAATGTGATTAATAGAAAAGAGGCCTCAGGAAGCTATGGTGGGAGCACAGAGGAAGGCTTCAGGCAGCTCATTCACCTGAGTCTTAAAGGATGAACAAGAATTTTCCAGGCAGAAGTAGAATGTCCACCATCATTTGCAATATGCGTATAGACCATATAGCTCCTTTTATAACTATCAGAGCGCAAATTGATTACCCTCCGTCCTGAAGTGACACTACCATATTTGCCCAGTGACCTGTCCTGTGTGGCTCAAATATATATAGATTTGATGAATTAGTTGCGAACTCCAGTTTCAATTAAATTCTCCTTCTTTAGCAGGCAACTCTTCAGCTACCTTTGCCACGATGTAAATATCATCCATTAGCGTATTACAAGGTTGCTGTAAAGTCAAATTTTTCTACGGTGTATGGTTCAAACCCAAGAAAGTACCAGCGTTAACTAATAAGGGAGGTCATTAGCAGTGCACGGCTGCCACAAAGAGCTGGAGCAAGTGACAGAAAATTATCAGGAGAAGTATTTTACACGTAACAGATGTAACAGAGTTTAGGTGCATGCAGACTTCCCCCCCCCCCCATGAAGGAGATGCATAGCAAGTATGGATGTTTTCCATAGCATTTACATTAGGCATAATGAAAACAAGGAACGGTTTGTCTTTTATATTCACAAAGTACTTCCCAGTGAGGGGTCCCTGTCTTCTCTCCAAGGAGGAACTAACTCACTGTAATCAAATAATTTAAAGTCTAAAAACAAAGGGTCACTACCCATGTAAAGAAACCATACTCAGGAACTCCTGATTCTTGGGAAGCGGTATGTTCAATTTTTCATAGTTGCAGACCTTCCCAGTTGTCCATTAAAAAAAAAAAGTAAAAAAAAGTCCACAGGTATTAATTCAACACACCTCTTGGGGAAAGTGTGCGTTTCACAACAATTCTTACTCTTTCGTTATGTTTACTAAATGTGATAAACTCTGCTATTTTCTCTTCTAAAATGGTTTATAACCTATGGTTTTGCAAATGTTGATTTAAAGGGGCTTCAGTCTGCCTTTGGTTCTTTTTTTCTAAAATGAGATAAAGGGTGGGCACAAAGTGATGAGTCTGATATCTTAACATCTCCAAAAACATAAGCAATGCTACCTCTACTCAAAGTATTTTGGGGTACTGGCCTTTTAGAATTGCCTTGAACGCCTGAGGCATACTCTTTTGAATAGTTTCAGGGGCAGAAAACCTTCGAAAATAGATTTGTATTCTGGAAGACATTAATTCAATCTATACATAAATTCCTGAAATAAGTTGACATCCTTTTGTTTCTGGGTTTTGAAGGTCATACTTCTGGCATGGGCTGGGTTGCTAAAGCATCTTGTGTTAAGAGATTATAGCTTTTTGTCCTTTAGTTTGAGATTCACTTGGTTTATTGATTTTTTTTTTTTTCCCCCATCGTGTGGATCTGACCACCCTAACTATGGACTGAGCTCGGGCCTCTATTATAATATAATGCAATTGACCAAGACTGCTTGGGAGCAGCTGTCTGCACTGTTTAGAGCAGTCATTCAATATGGCCAATCAAACTCTTTGTTATCTAAAATCCTGGGTCTGATCCGTTGCCTCTATTTCACTTTTCCAATTATGTGAATGACGGAAAACAAAGAATAGTCATAAATAATGTTAAATCTGATTTTATTAGAACCCGAGGGGTTTGCCTAAGGCCTCCTGATTTTGTCTTGTGGATAATAATGTCATCTGTAATTCCTTGCAGAACTGTTTGGCTCATTTAGATGCTGATAATATCATCTGATCCTGGAGTGGCTTTTCTCCATCAGAACTGGCATGTCCAAGTTAATGTGATTTTAATAGGTGTTAAAACCCTTTGAAGCGACACTGGCTGATGGAGTGTGTATAGCCAAGTTACCCTCGATTCGACAGTCTGACAAACAGTTTAAGATTTAAGTTTGTCTGTATTTTACTGTCCATATAACAGAGTTGGAATTCTCAAAATGAATATCCTGAGTTTCGACAGGCACAAAACCACAGAAAAGAGCCAAGTAAAAACAAGAGATGTAAAAAAAAAAAAAAAGTAAAACTTAAAACGAAAACACCACAAGTTGATATATTCAGAATTCTTGGGAGATTGAGTGGGTGAAATCACCTGCTGCCTGGAGTCAATGAGGTGAGAAGCTATCAAAAAGGCACATGGAGACCTACTGTCCTACCATTCTGTGGCTCGATGTGAAATCATGATGGAATAAAAATACATCTGGAAATCTTTCAGATTACTCAGCTTCCCAAAGGAAGTTGAGAAGAACACCCTTTGGACCAGGTGACCAAGCATTAGACTGAGTATACAGAACATTTTCAGTGTGCGAGTTCGGGCAGCCCACAGCTGTGTTACGGGGACCATGCTACCGAAGGTGATCACTTTAGGTCATCACTATGGCCTGGTGCTTGCCTCGTGTCTGACACAGAGCTGGCCCTTGCTGGGTGCCCATGACATGCCATCTTCCTGCTTCTGCTCAGGCTACAAATTGTGGCCACCCCCAACATCTTCAAATGCTGCAGCTTTGACTCTCTTATTCTCTCCCTCAGAAACCTCTGGATAGAACCCAGATTCCTTAGCCAGGCTTTCAAGGTCCCATCCTATCTTCCATCCAGCTCCCTTCCCATTCCCAGACAGTTTTACCTCTGTGCCCTTTGAAAAGACCATAGGATTTCCTGTTTGGGGTCTATAAAGTACAATTGTTTTCCGTACACCATTTGTGAATTCTGGCTCTCTCTCTCTCTTCACTCTTCACAAAAACCTCCACTATGATTTTCTTCCTGCTAAGGGTTTAAAAATGTTCTTTAAGACATTTCAGACCCTAAGTGGCATTTTGTCACAGGGACTCAGAGTCCTTTTCTGCCAGCTTGTAGGCTGCAGTCTCATGCAGCATGACCCCCCGTCTGGCGACACCCTGTTATGTGTCACCGGCAACATTGGAACGCTGCACCTTACATAAAGTGATTGTGGCCACTGATCCCTCGAGCACATGGGCTCAGGTGGACAAAGCTTTGCTCTCCTGATTTAAGATGAGCAACTGGCCCAAATTTAGCTCAGCTAGAGTTAATTGTCAGCAAGGCGATTCCCCCTAAAGGATCTCGTCAAGGGGTATTGGATCTCTGGCCTGGTCTCTGCACTCAGCCTTCCAACTTGTGATGCTCCTGACTGCTGCCTATTAATTCTGTCGACCCACATGGCCTTGGAATTCTCTCCTTTTGAAAGGGAATGCTAGCACTGCACCTTTGGAAGCCGCCTGGATGAGGACTGTGGAGGCCGGGGAAGAGTGAGGTTCAAGTCAGCTCAGGTAGCCAAGGGAACAGAGTCATCGAACGCCAGCCATCCTGAGATAAGGATTGGTGTTATTTCCAGTGACTGCAAAATCTGCTAGAGGCATAATGTTGCCAGCTCTTAACAGTCTCCAAAGTTTATCTGACAAGGACAAAACGCTATCTGCACCACCTCTAGACAAAGACTCAAAATTACCAGCGAATCGTTTTTCTCATTCTTCTCCAAGCAGCAAAGTTCTGAAAATAATGACAGCTATTCACCAATTTTTTTTTTTCCCCCACTTCCATCCAAGATTTTAAAACAAGATGGGGCAAATAGAAATTCCGGTGAAATAATCAAAATTTGTAGAAGCCTTCTTCTTTGCCCTCCTCTGGAACTTTCTATCCATATTTAGCATGTATTTTGCTCTCCACCCCCACCAGACTGAACTCCTTGAGGGCAAGGTCTCAAATTCGACTCTGTACTTTGTATTATGTCCACAGAATAACAGTACTCCATAACTGTCAGATGAATTGCTTTTCTCTATTCTTAATGGCCGCACATCAATTGTCAAATGGTATTTATAATTTTTTTTTTTTAAAGATTTATTTATTTATTTGACACAGAGAGACAGCGAGAGAGGGAACACAAGCAGGGGGAGTGGGGAGAGGGAGAAGCAGGCTCCCGGCTGAGCAGGGAGCCCGATGCGGGGCTCGATCCCAGGACCCTGGGATCATGACCTGGGCCGAAGGCAGACGCTTAACGACTGAGCCACCCAGGTGCCCCGGTATTTATAATTTTAGGATGAGTTCTTCGACTAACTTGAGGCCTCTCTGCAGATGTTGTTTAAGATTTTTATAAGTCAGATTCTCAAACCATCCGGAAGGCTCTAGGCCATAAATCATGTAATGGGCTCCCAGTACTTTTAGTGGGGTGGGGGGGCTCCTTGTTTCGACTGTTCCCTTTCCCGCCCTCCCCCCCCCCTTTTTTTTGCCAAGGCAATTGTTGGCTTGTCAGCTGCATGATCAGTTTGAGACAGTCATTGGTAATCTCAGTTTTTTTTCCTCCTTCTGACTCCAGGTCACTACAGGACACACTACTTTAATGAGAGTCTGGAGGACCTCGAGGTTACACATGTGTGCTTGAGTCGGAGAGCCTGGTCTTAAAACCTAACTTCTGCCATTTGAAAACTGAGCCACCCAAAGCCTCAGTTTTCCCGTGGAGGAAGTTTCCTCATCTGTAAAATGGGGCCCATAGAATAGCACCCTGTTGTGGGGTAGTTCTGAGGAACAAATGAAATAATCCACGTGCAGTGCTGAGTATATCCTGGCCACCGTTCTTCCACTTAAAAACATCTGGAAATCTGGGGTTGACTTTACTACTCTCCTACCATAATGAGGGTTCTGTTTTGTTTTTCTTTTCCCTTTTTTTTTTTTTTTAAGATTTTTAATTATTTTTAAGTGATCTCTACGCCCATCGTGGGACTCAAACCTACAACCCTAAGATCAAGAGTCGCACGATTCCCTGACTGAGCTGCGCAGGCGTCCCAGTTTTGTTTTTCTTTAAATCCGCACAAAAATCTCTTTTCCTGACCTTCTTTTATAGCCTATTACTATCTCGTTTATAAAACAGCCTTAATAATTTCGTAAATAGCCTGCTACCACTTGTCCTTTTTAGCAGAGCAGCCGAAAACGAATACCACTACCGTTGTCAAATACTTCGAAATCTCCCTCAATGAGAAGAGGACAGTATATTAAGGACTTGTTCTGTCTCATTCCTCCCTTTACGTTGCTGCCTTATTGTTCTTTTCAGAAGAAAGGATAGTCTTCCTATTCTGAATAGCTCTGATTTTCCACCTTCAGACCAGGAGGAACTGTGAAATGACAATCACAGAACAAGGCCTCCCTTGTCCCTGCCCTCCCGGGCCCCTCCCTTCACCACCAGCTAATAAGACTAAAGCTATAAAGTTCAATATAGGAGACAAAAGCTTCAAGCCACAGTATGTTTTTTTTGTTTTGTTTTTTTTTAAGGATAGAAATAGGGTGCAGATGCCCAGAATTTGTTAACAGGCTTGATGTTGATGCAGCAAAGCCCATTTTAAGTCAGATCGAGTTTAGAGAGATGTAGCTGATTATTTTGAATAATTAAATGGTGTCAAAACCAGCTGTGATGAATAGCACCGGGGTCTCAAATCATAAATAATTGAGAAACTGGAGTTGCATTTGGTCATCCTGATCAAATTCTGTTCTCCAGAGGATAAATGTTTGTCCTGAATACCATCAACATTGTTAAATGCCTCAGTATTCTTGCTCAGTCATCCAGCCAACAGTCAATTGAACTAAATCACTTCAACAGCACACACATTTGCTGTCCTCATGAATACAAAATGTTTGACTTTAAACCATGTTCTTTGTACTTGAATAGGCACCTTTTTCTGGTAAGCATCTAATAGCCACATTAAATACTTGACATGTTTTTGTTTGTCCCATGATACATTCATAGGACTCTGCTGAATAAATCAGAGGGTCCCTTCTCTCTCCCACCTTTGCTTTGGTTTTGCTCAGAAAAACAAAAAACTAAGAGAAAGACTTCCTTGCAAACCAGTTGTCAATATAATTGCCTTTACGATGGCCTCTGGGGACTCTGAATTTGCACAGAGACGGGGGGCTTTGGGTCCCGTGTTCATTTCTCATTGTGCCTCCTTTTCCATGACATCGTTTAGTCCCCGAAACCCATTTTGTGCAAAGGGGTGGGCAGTTTAGCATCATCATCGTCATTTCCATTTTAAAGGAAGAATGAGAGAGAGAAAGGCACGGACTCACCCACAAAGCTAGAAGACAGCTGAGCTGCCATGAAAACTTGGCCTCCTCGGCACAACTCTGGCTGCCAGAGATGTGCGTTAGTTAAGCGCCTCAGTGAAGAAAAGGGCAGTCTGTTTAATAGCTCCTCATTGACACCCTGTCACTGCTGAACTGGCACGGAACCCAGAGCTGGCAGGGTGGTGCGTGCGCGCTCTACCTTGTTTCCTGCACAACGGTTCTTAAAATCACAGGGCTGCGTTAACCCACGTCTTCTCTCCAAGGATTAATAATCACGAAACCCGCCACCATCCATCTTTGCAGGGCCTTAACAGGTAACCCGGCACCCTCAAGGGCGTGCATCATTCACTTGGCCCAACTTCGGGATGTCAGTGACATGAGCGCCATTTCCAAAAACTGGGGCAGCCGGGCCACCGGAGAGGAAGCGACTGGTCCGAGGATAAGGAAGCACACCGCCTCCCGTGGAGCCAGCCCCAGGCCCCTCAGACTGCAAATCTGCCGTCTCCTCTACACCTCGGGCAGCCCAGAGAGGCGAGCCCTGCCCTTGGCGTGAGGACCACTGACCCACTTAGGATGACCATGAAGACAGAACGTGGGGGCTTGCCTCTTTTCCACCACTAAGTCTGTTCTTTTCTGGACACGCACGTGCAGGACATGGGCAACCAACTCCCTCTCATCTAGTCTTTTGCGGGGAAAAGAATGCCTGCCAGAAGTAGAAGTGTAAAGAAAAAAGAAAAAAACCACACAATCTCCAACTTTTTCCGCCATCGTTTTTGTTATGCTTGAATGGATTCATGTCAAGTTTATAAAAAATCCTGTAAGAGTCAGGTTTCTGGAAATTAATTTTCAGTTTTGAAACATACCTCAAAATCCTCGGAGAACCCATGCTGGTTATTAGAATAGAGCTCACCAATGTGTTTAACAAACTGTTTGACAGGAATGGCTTCCATGTCATCTGTGGGGGGTGATAAAATGATATTCAGAGTCACACAGAATATACTTCGATAAAACAAGTAACACCGATAAGGGATTATTAAAGACAAACATTTGATTTGTGTGAGGAGTAGACAGAACTGTATCACCCGAAGTAGATGTCCTCAGGAAAAGTCTCAGGATGTACTTTACTTGTCTTACTAGGATTTTGAATGCCTAGAAGCTAGGTTAAATATAGGGTTTTTTTTGGAAGTACATAGGGAATTAGTTTTTTTTAATATTCAAGGCAATTTACATAGTTAAATTACCACATCATACTCTTAACTGAAAGTCTGAACTTCCTAAGGGTACCTATTTGTCAAGAAATTTTATCACAACCTAAGATTTTTTTTTTAATTGCTCTTCAGTGGGGTCCAGCTTGAACTTGGAGCAATGAAGATCTACTTCCAGTCTCTGAAGTCGCAGCAATCTTTATACATGATTACAGAGAGATGCCATTGTACCAGCTGGCTTCGCGTACAATGCCATCTATGTTTAAGTGTGCAAAATTTTAGTTCAAGACAGCTGTGTCTATACGATGCCAAATAATCAGTTTGACTGAATTAACTGGATTTTTTGGGTGTTGACAGACTAGGTATAGATTCGGGAAGACTCCACGTTCCAATTTATTATAGTGTTGTCACTTCAAAAGGACATTTGCAGTTCATGAGCCCAAAGTATCCGTTTTGAGCGGATTTTTCCAGCTCTGGTCCGAAAGTGGAGGACTGGCCACAAAACTGCCATACCCCACTAACTGGAGCTCCCCAACCTCCTTCCCTCGACCCTCCCCCGCAAATATTTCTTTAAAAATACTCTGCTGAATTTGAGATAAACAACAGACATGACATTTACTTTATTCAGAGTGAAAGATCTTTGGCAAACGCACAAACATCTAAACTGCCGCAGATGCTTTTCTTAGCAAAGGGTATGAAGATCTGTATGTGTAAATGAGGTCCTACTTTGGCAAGAATGTTATAGATCCAGGCCTGACAATCTGATTTCTCTTCATCTGGTGACAGTTAACATTGACTATGTCATTCCTTCTCTACTTTCTTTCGAGAGAGCAAAGCTCTAGGGTGGCTTTTTGCATCTATTGACATTTTCAAACTTGAATCATTCTTAAGCGCAAAATAGCATCTCTTATACTTTGTTTAAGGAAGGTGACTTACATGTTCATAATCCAAATTGCTTAGCGCAGAAATGTTACTGATCAAATAGATTATAAGCACCAATTCTTTCTGTGTGAACAATTAAAGACCTAATCATGTTAACAGGCCACCTTACGAAAAAAAAATTGCCAAGTTATTTACAAATATTTCAAGATTGAAGATGTTCATGAATATGCAATCATTTTGCACGCCCAAGAAATCTATAGCTCCCATAATGATGTAACCAGCATTAACAAAGTAAGCAGAGCCAAAACGTTTCCCCAGAATATTGAGCAGAATGCACAGTTGAAGAAAAATTTCCAAAATTATCTGATCAACTTCGCCTAAAATGTTTAGAAGTCAGCAAATTCTACAATAAAGATCAAGTGGCAAAGAAATGATCTGAAGTTGAGATAAGGATTAATATATGCAAAATTGGAGTCTTGAAAAGATTAACCCAAAGAAACTCCTCTTAGGACAAGAGGCAAAATGAATGAGATGGGACAGAACCTAGCCCTGCCAACACTCTAGTATATAGACTGCAGCATTTCCTTCCAACTTACTTAGAAACCAAAGACAACACTGTTTCCGAGCGGGACATCGTTAATAGCGCAATAGGCTGAAGGCAACATTTATCCCATGATTTACTTAGAATTGTAGAATTCCAGTAAATTTATGGTACACATGACTCTAGTTCAAAATAAGCAAACACATGCAGTTTTAGAGGTGTTTTACTCTGCAAAGGCAAAAAACACGGCATTTTAAAGGTCAAAGCCCACCTCAAGTCATTAAAAAATGTTTTCAGGGTAACAATTCATTATTTTTTTTTTCCTGCCAAGCACTCAAGTATAACATCCAAACTAATGCCATACATGCCCAGAAATCAGTCTGCCTGCTATCCCCCTGGCTAGATGCAGGAAAAATCCAGCAGAGCTCAGTAGGATAATCATGGAAATATATGACTCACTAGTCTCTCCAATTAGCTTCTTTATCCAAGGAAGTCTAACCACACCCCTCTGGGTTTCCAGGCACCACCAGTAACATCATAAAACTACCAGGCAAACAGACACAGACACACAGACACACAGACACGCATGCGGTACTGACCACCACCAGCTACCCAGATAACACGTTGTCTTTCAATCAAGATAAATGAAGCTGAAGGGTCACAAATCTTTTTTCTCAGTATTAAGATGAATATAAGGCTATGACTAATTAGAAAGTCCTCATAGTTATCCTCTTACATATTTCTATTAAATTTCTCACAACATGAGCCAGATAATTATAAAATTACTATTAACTAGCACAAGGCCAAGCAATTAGGACAGCGCTGTAGACCTGATCCTCTCAGTTTTCGTCTGGGAAGACCCTGTGGTGTTAGAGGACATCCATCGGAAAGATGTTATGTTACTTACATAATCTGTTTCATTAACGAATACAGAGACCATTAGCAGCACTAACCATGGGCCAGGCACTTTCTATGCCCTTTAGGTGGATTAACATGTACTCTGATCCTCCCAATAACCCTGGGAGATAGGTACCATTTTCCTACTCATCTCACAGTTGAGAAAATAAGCTCAGAAATATTAACTGAAGGCTGGACTATGGCAGAAGCTGGTTGCAGACCCAAGGTCAAAGGAGAATGGCTGTGCTCTGGGTCAGAGTGAATGGGAAACCACTGGATGAGGCATTTACTGAGCAGCCAGGACTCAGCCAGACATTAGGGAGATGGGTGTCTGCCCAAGGGCACATTTGTGTTGGAGAAGCTATGACTATCAGCAGGAGTGAGCAAGAATTACATGGTGAAGACTCCACATGTCACGAAAAGGATGGATTTGATAACTCAGGTGAGAATAAATGTTACCAACGCAGTGGTCATGAAGAAAAAAAATATGAGCTTGAGTCAAAGGAAGCGGTTTTCACTAACTACCGTTTAGATGGGAGATGGTGATGATAAAATGAAACAATCTCAAGAGAGACTCAGTGGAATGAGAAGAGAATCACCATGTCTTAAGCCCTTACTGGTCACCAGGGACTGTGCTAAATGTTTTCCATACATTTAGCTTTACCAGAACGAGGTGAAGGGGACATTGTTCTCACAGGACACACTAGGCAAAGGAAGCAACATGTCCAAAGCATGCCATCTGAATCCTGGTGTACTGAACATGAGGCCTGTGTTCCTCCATACTGATACCTGATTTGTCTTCATTCTCCAAGCACAATTTCCAGGAAGAACAAGAAATTAAACAGTATCTCGGTTAATTAAACGGAGTATCTTGGATAAAATGTTCCTGTTTAATTCTGTGCCAATATTTTTAGTTACAGAATTTTCAGATACCAAAGATTTAAATTAGGCAAAAATGAGAGTCCTGCTGTCATCCTTAAATCACCCCATTATAAGATGTTTGGTATAGTCAGTTGAGAATCAGCACCTTCAGAATGAGATTGTTATTCGGTATTATTTACACTTTGTTCCAAGATTTCAGCCTTTGGTGGTTGGAATTAAACTTCATATATAAGAGGCCTTTAATATTTTGGTCCACATCCTTATGTACCACTTCTGATGGAGTCTGAAATGAGTCTCTGGTTTGTAGGTACCCAAAGAGGCACATTTGGAGAGGGTGAACATCTACTGAGAAGAAAGTACCAAAGGTGAGAGATTCCTTGGAGGTAAAAAAGAGCTCGAGATTATTAACGTTAAATAAAGCACTGTAAGAAATAAAGAATAACGCATTGAACATAGAGAAAAGCTGTTTCCAGAATCTGGCTATGTCTCTGTTGTGTTTGCAATTTGGAGCCAGGTAGAGGGAAATCACCCCTATATTGGTCTATGGTTCTAACCTCTTTGTACGTGCTCACTTTGCTTTCTCTTCCTCTTCAGGAATAAAACAGAAAAGGAAAAATTTTGCTTTCTTGTCTTTTTTGCTATTAGAAAGAAAAAAAATCAGCAGCCAAGACTGTTCTTGAACATCAACCCCAGGGAGGTGCCACAGAGGGCTCAGCCCGTTACGTGGCTCCGTGGCCAGGTCTTCAGCCTGTCACTCAGTAAAATTGTCTAGCTGTCATTCTTGTTACCAATGGTGGAAAGCATCCTGTGTGCCAGGCACCTAGGGGCAGTGGTGTAAGTGGAAAAGCCAGAGCCAGATGGCCTGGTGGTGTGACTTCACCTCTCTGTAATTCCCTTTCCTCATCTATAAAATGGGAATAATAATGACTTTTCATAGAGAGTTATGAAGAGTCAACAGATGACCGAAGTATTTACAAGAGTGCTTGGCATTTAGTAAATGGTTGATAACTAGGATTTATTGCTGGGTGCTAATTGTTTTACATGCGTGGCCCTGATTTGGGGCTGTGATTACCCATTTTATAGATGGGGAGACTGGCTAAAAGAGACCCAAGAGCTTGGCCAAGGTCCACTGTCATTATCAGGCGTGGGGCCAGGCTGAATCCAAAGCCTTGTGTCTTCCACCTTATTTGACCTCTCTCTAGGCCTTAAATTGAATATACGTGGTTAGAGAGGGCAGAAAACCATAATAAAATCTTAAAAAAAATAAAAAGCATTATTTATTTGAGAGAGAGAGAGAGAGCACAGAGGGAAAGGGAGAAGCAGACTCCGCA